CCCCCCCGTAAGTCACAACATGGTCACGATCCCAGTGTGTCATGCATTCACCACTCACTCCTGGGCTTGAGGGACAGCAGCCTCAGGTCCTGGGCGGTGCTCGTGAGGCGGTAGCTGTTCTCGCTGCCCGTGCTGTTCTCCCACTGGACGAGCGCGTAGCCGTCGGCGAGCACGCCCTTGGAGACGACGACGCCCTCGCCCGGCGGCGTGCCGTCCTGGAAGCCCCACTGCCAGTCCGGGCCGCGCACCACCCGGGAGCCGAACTTCACCAGCTGCGCGGTCTGGCGGCCGCTCAGCTTGAACGGAGCTGCGGACAAGTCGGTTAAGTGAGGTTGGGGGTAAGATTATCGCACGACCGGCCGGCGATGTTTGTAACCCTATCTAGCTTGCTTTTAGAGCTCTTGATCAGGCCGAAGTCGGAGAACTTCGGTCGAAGTTCACCGAAGTTCCTGAAGTTTAGTAGAGTTTACCAAAAATCGCCGAAGTTCAAGCCTACTTCCCCTTGGTTAGGTTAGGTTTACATTTGTTTAGAAACTTGCAGACATAATCATTCCATTTTCCACTCACTGTCGCAGTTCTCCTCGTCGGACTGGTCTTTGCAGTCTTTGGCGCCGTCGCAGACGTGGTGGTTCCTCGTGCAGTCACCGCTGCCGCACTTGAAATGAAGGCACGCTAAAGACACGTCTGGGAATAAAAGTTCTAATATCAGTTTTTGTTTGTTTGTGTATCAACGGGACTTTACGCTCACGTAACAACAACTTCATGAGTCGATGTAATCGAAGCTTCATATTATAACACAGCAACGCGAGTGCAGCAATACATTGTAAAACTTACAAAAAAGAGCGAATTAAAATACAAAACCGGAGTGGAATAAGCAGGTGGACTCACTCTCCTGGGGCCTGATGGCCGCCAGCTTGAGGTCGTACAAGCCCTTGCTCTGGCTCATGCGGTACTGGTTCTCGTGCTTGCCCTGGTCCCACCGCACCACGGCGACGCTGTCCCTCAGGACGCCGTTGGAGACGACGGTGCCCTGGCCCGGGGGCTTCCCGTCCTGCTCCCCCCACTTCCAGTCGGGGCCCCGCACCACCCGCGAGCCGAACTTGAGCAGGTGGACCGTCTGCGCACCGCTGATCTTATCCGGATCTGAAAAAAAACACCAAAATGGGTTCGATGTGAATCAGTTTTTACAGAGAGCATAGATAAAAAACAATAAGGAAGCGAAATATTTCGAAGCAAAATGTAACGATCACGGCAAAGAAGACGAGTTTTTCGGCTGGGCCCATACCGTTGCAGTTTTCCTCGTCCGACCTATCCTTGCAGTCGTCGTGGCGGTCGCACACATCCTCCTTCCTCGCGCACCGGCCGTTGGCGCACTGGAAATGGTAGCACGTCACCGTCAGCTCTGAAAAGGGGAACCAGAAATACAAGATGTTTCAGCGTCGAGTGTGCAGGCAAAAAAGAGCGAATAAACTAGGAAACAAATAAATAAGGAAACAAGCAAATAAACACACTTCGAAACCAACAGTGTACTTAGTACACAAGGAAAAAGTGTACTACCGCACACTACACTACATTGTGTGTCCTTCTAAGTCAACTCTTCCTTGTGTGTATGAAGTACAGTTGGGTTTGCACCGGAAGTAAAGAGGCAAACAACAACACATCTGATTCAATGTGTCATGATGAAACGAAAGGTCCGTCACAAGGAAAATATTTTTTTTTTTATGAATGACTTGATACCATCCTTGATTCACCCGACTCACCCTTCGGCGTGGCGCTGACGAGCTTCAGGTCGAAGGCGCCCTTGCCCATGCGGTAGTTGACCTGGTGGCCGTTGGCGTCCCAACGCACGAGCACCCAGCCGTCGACGAACACCCCGTTGGAGATGATGACGCCCTCCCCGCCGCCGTCCTGGTCGCCCCACCTCCAGTCCGCGCCCCGCACCACCCGGGACCCAAACACGAGGCGCTCCGCCATCTGTTCACTAGTCAGCTTGGAGACGTCTAAAAGAGGTCAAAGGAAAACTAATATCTCTGGGGCCACGCTGCAACTGGTTAACACTATCAACCCAATTGTATGCAGGTCGCACTCTTGGGGGTGAGTGAATTTCCATCCGCACACTTAGACCAGTAAAAGTGAGAATTTTCCCGTAAAATTCGTATACTTGTACCCTATAGTGTGCGAGTGGAAATTCACACACGCTACAAGTGTGTGACATGCACACACTTGGATTTCTACTGCAGATGGATGGGTTAGAAAATTAGTATTCGACGAGTACAACAACAATTATTCCACTGCGAGCACAAAAGGTATCCAATCCTGATGTGGCGAAGAAAGAAAACCAAATGAAAACACTCGTACCCTCGGTGTCATTCTTCAGTCTTGACCCGACTGCAGTGAACTTTGGTTTTGAATCAGACAGCGGCAAACGCTGCGAGAGCTTGTCTCCCTGTGCATTCGGTAGGGGTGCGCCGGAATCCTCGAACACGATGGCATCGTTACTGTCCTCCACGGGCTTCCTGAAGAGCCCCTCGGAAGCGTGCAGTGCCCCTGACCAGTCAGAGTTTTCCAGGGCCAGCTGCCCTGGGGCTCTGCAGAAAACAACACCTGAAAGAAGAGGGTAAATCGTAATCCAGTCACAACTATCTTTTCAGACAGTCCCTTATTTCAAAGTTTTAGTCAGAAAGCAAGCAAATATGCAGGGGCAATTCCAGGAGGTATGGTCAAAAATTTCCGCCCGTCACGCGATTTGTGAGCGACTGAGAGGCTACGTTGTTTTTCAATACGTGTCCTGACTCCCCATCTTAAGACGCGTCCAGTCATGTTTTGTGCGAGACCCTAGCACCTCCCAGTCGCTCACAAACCACGTGACACCCCTTCCTGGAATTACCCGCAGCAATAAAAGTCGAGCCATTAATCTAAAGTTGGGCGGGTCTGTAAATACTCTGCAATCCTAAGTGTGTACATGCATGCATTATTTCCTCAATGCCTTCCCCATGTTTCTGTCTGCGTGTGCGAAAACTAGTGTGTACATGACCATGTAGGTACACACGTAGAGCCCTCTGAATGGCAACTTGCCGAATTGAATTCATGGCCATGTACACACTACTTACTGCACACATGCGCACGCACAGGCAATTTACTGAATGCATGGAAGGTATTCAGGTAAGTAACGCATACCTGGGTGTATTCAGGAGATACTCCACACATGTACACACTTGAGTTTGCTGATTATGTTTAAGCTTCTGGAATAAGCTACGACAGATGTAACTCATTTCCGACAGTCAGGTCAGGATGGCTAAACTTCGACCCGTGCCGTCGACTTTAGGTGAACGCCTGACACATTTTGTCCTTTGAGCGCGTCTTACTCAGGTTGAGGAGCGCGGCGAGGAACAGCAGGCGCAGGAGCGCCAGGCGCAGGAGCGCCGGCCCGTCCATGGCGAAGAGCACCGACAGACTGCCGCATCGTTCAAACCAGTTTGGGCCATCGGCTCCTTGGCGATGACGTCAGCACAGGTCTACAGCAAGGTCGACAAATGCGTGCACACGGTGAAACCGCTTACCTGACTTTCAGGTAACTTTTTTCCGGATTCAGGTAATTTTACCTGATTTGACGATTTTCAGGTAATTTTACCTGATTTTTGCCGTATTCAGGTTGCTTACCTGATTTTTGGCCCGGCCGGAGGGAGCCTCGGGTCCCTGGCGCTCTTTTGCAGGCCCACTGGGTGGGGAGGGGGCGGGGGGGGAGTCATTCCATGGGAACAGTTATAGGACACCCCAAAAAATAACGGGAAAAAAGGAAAAAATATAGGAAAAAATGGATTAAAGTAAAATAGTTTTCTGACACAGGGGGGAGATAGAGGAGGGGAGGGTCGTTCCACTTCAAACAGACATAGGAACCCCCAAACATTAGAAAATAAAAATCGAAAAAAAGTATAGAAAAGGAAGAATGATTTCAATGATTCAAATCACATAAACACGTTGGGGCCGGCTTGACCACATTGTGGTTATGGCCAAATGTCCCTACTGCCGACGTGTCCACAATGTGGGCATTTTTTGTTCAATGTTCAAAGATTTTTAGAAAGTCAGGGAATTGGGCTAGGGGGCTACTCTCTTCGGCTTTAGGTAGAAGAAAGCTGTAAGAATTCCAGGCAATTCCAGGCTACAGGTCAGATGGCTCCTTCAGCCCCTACCAAGGCAATGGCCACAATGTGGACAGCCCGGCAGCAGGGACCAGCGGATTTGAGGGTCTGCTGGTCGCATTGGGCATAAAAAGCGGCCGATATGCCCACAATGTGGTCAGCCCGGCAGGAGGGGA